TGTTCCGATAAAAAAAGGGTGGACGCTACGCCTAAGCCACTTTTTCCATTTTCAAGCCTCCCGTACCCAATCTCCTGAATTTTCAGACTACTTCTTTACACTATGCTCTGCCTTCACAATATCTTCCTTCATTACTTATTGGTTATAGGAATCCGCTTTCATCAGCTGCGAAATACTCAGATTATGGTGAGGTCTACTGTACAACCCTTCCAGAAATCAACCGTAATCAACTGGTTTTCATCGAGAAAATCGGTCAAGGAGAATTTGGAGAGGTAGGCCTGAAACTGTTTGCTATCACTAGACGATGTTTCCATTGATGACGAGATTTCAGGTACATCGATGCTTTCTCGAATCTCGCCAGGTTGCTGTAAAACGCCTCCATAGCACGTCACAAGAGGACGAGTTAGCCTTTCTTCGCGAGATCAGAGTATTAGGTACTTAGTTAAAAAGTGTAATGTAATTTAGATGAGTAAAGCCTAACCTGTGCTATGTCCAGTGGTTCAATGGTTTTCATCCTATCGTTCACCCTCTTCTGAGCTATCTGCAAAAGTTTTCATGTGGCGTTAGCCCAGCTTCGAATACAGTAACTGCTTGGTTGATCAATGAGTACATCCTTGCTGACTGGCGAAGTTTTCCGCGCTTCGGTCTTCGGGACTTACAACCGCAATAGAGTTCAATTGCTGAAGGAGCGGGGTAGTGTCACTCAAGAAACCAAGCCCAGGTAGGTAAGGCCAAAACCGACCTGGCAATGTACACCTTTGAACCTGGGTGCGCTTCATTGCGCGTGTCCGTCGAAACTAGGTCACGCCGCCGCCGTCGCATGCGGCGGGTCAGCCCGCGATACTTGACAGACGTCGCAGCTGTAAGCGGGGCATACGACTTGCCCTTTCTCCACGGTAGTCAGCCAAAGAAAAGATAACACAGACAAATGCAAATCGTTCGCTCCACTCACACTCGGTGGTACTGTAATGTCATCTCGAGACCTCAGTGGAGTGCGCCGCGCGCGAAGTGGGCGCGGTGACCTACTTTCGACGGACACGCGCAACGGACGTTCGCCTTTGACCCTTGAATAAATGATCCTCTCATTGCAGAATGTTTAGCTCATAAGCTCACTGAAATGCGAATACTACAGTACTTTACAAGAGCTACATAGAGTAGAAGGCGTAACCTATGATCACAACTTTTGCTCCCGTTAGATATCTCTAATCTAAGAGATCCCACAGAAATCAGAGACATCTGTACGGTAATGACTTCGTACAGTATTTCACAATGCCCGTCATGGCTATGTGCATTTAAAACATCTCTAGAGATGGGCCTTCATGGTTTTCTTTTCCGCACAGGTACTACCTGACTTTGGTACTGATAGCTTCAGCTAATAACTTGCAATTCAGGAAATTTGAAACATCCCAATGTGGTGGAGGTGATTGGAGTGTCAACGATCGACAAGCCGATGATATGCATCATGGAATATATGGTTAATGGGGACTTGCGATCATACATGA